TAATATAAATTAATATATTATAATAACTTAGATTTGTCTTTGTTGATCAAAATTTTCAAATAATTGTAACAAAAACTATAACTGATGACAGAATTTTGTAATAAAAATTTTAAGTATTGTAAATATTAATTATTGAGAAATAACTAAGCTCAACAAAATTTATATACACAACTTTCTTAGTTTTTTGATTTAAAAACAAATCAAATAGTCTTGTTCTAGTAGGTTTTAATTGGTTAAAAATGTTCAAAGGGTTTTTGTTTTCAGTTTCAGAATAAATAAAATGTAATTAAATAGATATATATAAACTTATGTAAATTGTATGTGGCTTCATACAAATTACTATTTCTGTGCTTTACTAATAATTATTTCGTCGGTGATAGAACTATTTATGAAAGAAATTTCTGTTTATTAAAATCATTGTCATTAAGATTTGTTTAAAGAGTTAATATTTATTAAATTTATTAAGATAAATATTTATATTCAGATCATTATTTTGTAGTTAACAATTTTTGTTTCATGCACATCATAAAACAGTTGGGAGAGATTTAATTAACTTAACAATATATGAATTTCAATTTATTACAATTAATTTTTATTCATATTTTTAATAGGCATGTTATTTATTTATTCAATATTTCTAAAATGTATTTTATCAAACATATATATGAATTTACCAAAAGTGCATGAAAGATTAAATTCCAAAAAAATTCTGACTAGTTTATCTTCAGAAAAAAAGATGATTATAAAATGAAGAATGACAGAGATCTATAAATTTGAACAAATATTAAAAATAATAGTAAAAATAAGAATTTAAAATGTGATATTGAATTAATTTTACATTGATTATTTAAAATCCAATTTATTTTCAGTATTTAGTTGAAGGATTAAATATTAAAAATGATCACACAGGTTATTTACTATCATCTCTAAAAATATTACATTAAATAAAAAAATTTTGCAGATTAATATTTTAAAATAAATACACACAAATACATAAGTTAGAATAAGTGTTTTCAAATAATAATTGATATTTTATTTAATTACATATAAATCTGTAATGTGTTATATTGCATGGCTTACATAAAAATATTTAGAGATTTATGATAGGTAATCAAAAAATTAAGTAACTGGAAACATTATTATAATTAAACATATTGATGCTTTATTAAATAACATAATAAATAAAAAAAGTATTTTGTGTATATGTTACTGTGAAAGACCGAAATTAGAGAATGTCGATATTCTCTGGTGAATGTCGACATGTACAAAATACGTCGGTGATAGTTCGAATATTTGGTTATATTATTATACATTTGAACAATCGCCAGTGTATGTCGACAAGCACAGATAAGCTTTGGTGGAGGTCGAAATGACACCTGAGAAGCTGATGTCAACAGAGAGGCGACAGTCTATCGCCAAATATTTTCTGGATAGCCGGAGGTAGGCCATGGTCGTACCTCTTTTTTTGGCAACGGTTTGGTGGAAACTGCTCACTTTGTCACTGGATGGCGTTTTTGTTCTTTTTATCCCGTGAGGTGGGGATCGGTTTGTCAGGTCAAGTGGTGGAGGATGAGAGAGGTCGTAGGTAAGGCGTCGGCGATATCCGAATAAAAGACACCATTACCAGATCAGTTCGTAATCACGTAATAAAGTAATCAGTTCGTAATTTGTAAAGAAAAGTTACTTTCCATAGATGAGATTTCTTCTCAAGAAATATCACTGAGAGAAGCAGCTGCAGCTAATTCAAAAAGTGGAGGGCAAGGCTATACACGCTGTCATTGCAAAAAAAGTGTTTCACGAATAAATGCAGTTGTAAAACCAAAGGACTCTTGTGCAATTCAAAGTGCCATAACAGTTTAAATTGTTGCAATAAATAAGATTGTATAATGTTAATCACATAATTTATGTGTAAGTTTATTATTGTATTATTTTCTTTAATGATTAAGAATGTACTGTTCGTTTTAGGTTCAACAGTTTATTTACATATGCTGTTACTTAAGCTTTCACCTATTTTCATATATTAAAAAGTTGCATTTTTGTCTTAACGTAATAAAAATATTTTTATTCAACATTTAGCATCAGTGCATGCCGAATGTTGACATTTGCTGGTGTAAGTGAGAAATAATGATATTTAGCAAATATTTCGTACATACATGAAACAACTGTGTGAATGCTGACATTCACCGGAGAATGTTGACATTCGCCAGATATTGGTCATTCACAGTAACATATATATTAAGATACATTGTGTTCCAAATTAAACAGCAAAAAATTTGTTTTATTGGAGTACTTATTTCTTTAAACTTTAAAAAACAATAATACTTTTGAGCTTTACTGGCTTCAGAATAGTTTTTTTAATAAAATTGATAACATTATATATTCAAAAATTGAAAGAGAAAAAACTTATTATAATAATAATAATAATTTTTTTTAATATAAATGTTCAATTTTTAAGCATAAACCAAATAAATCCACATTTCTTTATGTATAATTTTGTTATTTTTGAATTTGTGAATTTATAGCGAAAGAAATTTTGTCATTATTTTGCCTGTTTAACTATATTTTGGCTAAATTTGTACTCTTGAATATAACATAGGAAAACTTGGAAGTGTTAGTTTTATATATATATATATATATATATAAATATAAACTGTAACACTTCCAAGTTTTCCTATGTTATGTCCAATAATTCAGATACATCTATTTTATTATATTATTAAATTATTGAATCCTTAATCAGATCATTACTGAAAAAAAAATTTGCTGATATGAAATTGTGAACAAAAATTATAAAACAAAATTATATATATATGATTTTGTTTTATAATTTAATTATATAACAAAATAGATGTATCTGAATTATTAAACAGTAAGATATTTTTAATTTTGGCAGAATTATTTGCTGAGAGATGCTTTTGATTTGTGTATATCATCAATTTCTTGAGACTGATATAATCATTATCAGATCTATAAGATCATAATTTGTTGAAAATATTTGTCTTATGAAGTAATTTTTACTGAATCAAAAGAATCTTACTGTTTAATTTCAGTATGTATATATTTAATGAAAAATGAAAATGAAGTAAGAAAAATGAAATAAATGCATGATATGTAAAGAATGATTGATTAATTTTGTTCGTTCTCCTTCACAGAATATTATCTTAGTTTAAGTTATAACAGTTGTGCTTAACTAACCATTTGTTATGCCTGCCTAATTATCCTTTACTGTATGTGTTCATTAATAACTGCAGGAGCTCCATCCTGCATGACTCCTTCTCCTGGTTGCCAGTTCAAGTTTGCCTGATTTTTGTTTCTTAGTGAAACAATGTCATGGTACGTCAGAGTGAAGCCACATTACTCAACATTGCCATCCCATCATGAACAACGTATTAGTACTCTTCAAAGACAGCATGGACGAGCAAAGTCGTGAGTGCAAGCAATTATTATGCTTGGTGTGCACTCCTGAAATGTGCATTTTGTATGATTTTATTATTATTATTTTTATTTTTAAAATAACAAATAAATGCTTATATAATTTTTGTTCTTGAAATTTATCTTAATAAAGATTAGTTGTTCTATATTTAACAGTATTGTTTTCATAATTAATAGCATGATTTTTTTTCTATTAATATGTTTTAAATTTCTAAAATCTATAATAAATTAATTTAGAATTTTTATTTAATATAAAAAAAAAATTCTAAGCTTCAGAATATTTTAAAAATTAGAATAACATTTTAAAATAATTATAATCTCAGAGATATTCTAGTTTTTGAAAATAATTTGTATACTAAACTGTTAACACTATAAAATGTAGATTTTGAAATAACTTTAAATATCAATTTGTAAACTTTTAAAACTTTTTTATACAAAATATTTAAAATCATGCATTTAAAATTTAAATATAGGAAATATAAATAGAAATTCAATATATGATATTTTAATTATGAATAAAATTTATATATCTGCAGAATTTTTTGATTTTTGAAAAATTGAATTACTGATTGTCAGAATATGTTTTAGTGTAAATTCATATAACTTGTGTTATACAGAGTGACCCGTTTTGATCAATGTATTGAAATAACTTGAAGGGTATAAATCCTACAAGAAAATCATTGCACTGAAGATATTAACTCATCTTGTTGCCCTCAAGAAATCTGTCGGTTTTGTCGTGGATGGTGCTGCAGTTGGTGAAAATAGGTCAACTTTACTTTTTTTAATGGAAATCTCCATTTTTTATTGCATATTACGTCAAGGACAGAGTTTTTATTTAAAAACATTTTCTCGAAAGATACACTTGATTAGTGTACAGTGCACACAACTCTGTGGATATCTGGGGTTCATCATTGAAAAAAGGAGGAGAAATATTAAAAAAGAATCATTGGGAAACATTATTATTTGGTGGAATCAAGATCATCTTCTCTCTACCACAAACTTAGTGACTTTAATACACTGTGACACTAATTTTTCTATCAATTTATTTGAAGAAAATTAATGATTTCACCGAGTGGTAATAGTTTTCTAGTGCTTCTGTAAGCATTTTTCTTCTTTTTTACTGAACTTTACGGCTATCCACAATTATGTGTGCACCATGTTGTGGCCATGTATGACTTAAGACACTCATAACCTCTGATAAGTGCATGTTTTAGATTAAAGTTTGTTTTTGATGTAGATTCATAAAATGCAATAAGGATTGGTCAACTTCATTTTCAAAAAAATGGAAACCCCTAATTTTTACCGGTTGTGGTGGCATCTATGGTGAAGTTGATAGACCCATCTTGTAGCTCCCTTCAAGTTCAATATTTTTGATGCAGTGATTTGTTGTGTATGTGATTGGATGTATATTTTTAGAGGTTATTTTAATGGCTTGATAAAATGAACCACCCTGTATATTAATTTAATAGACGATACATCACTTTCTTTATAAGTTGAAAGAAATATTTCATAAATTAAAAATGCAACAGCTTTTATTAAAAAAATAGTGCATTTCTGAATAGAGAGAGATTCACTAACATGCTACAAAATCCCAATATTAAAAAAAATTTTTTAATCTAATTATTACATTAATACATTAAAAGTAAAGTATTTAAAAGTATATATACTTGTATATATACTTTTAAACATTATAATCAAATTAAAAATTTTTAAAGTTTTTATTTATAGTAAAGTATAAAAATTTTGTTCAAATATGATAAAATAAATTTACAAATCTATCAACTTAAATCAAATAATAATAATTTATATTATAAATAGTTATTAAATTTAAGAGTTTATTTATTTTGAAAGTTTTTTTTTAAACAAACTTAATGATTCATATTTAATTTTGTAAAAATTATTTTATATAAAAATGTTTGTACTTTTTCATAAAATACAAATATTAAAACAAAAATACTTTTAAAATTCATATAAAAATGTGCCATTTTTACACACAAATCTTTAACAAATTTTAAAAATCATAACTATAAATTCTAAAGAGAAAAGTTATTTATGAAAGATAAAGTAATTTATGCTTAAATAGTAGTAATAAAAATAAATTTAAAATTTGATGATGTGAATTATTTCTTTAGAAAAAGAACATTAGTCCACACCAATACTTGTCTAGTCAGATAATTATTTCTTCAGGAAGGAAATACCAAACATTAACAGCATAGAAACTACAAATCAGTTCCAAAGTATGATTAAAATTTGATGTTAAAAATCCATTGTGATTTTTATTAAAGTGACTACAGTCAGAGCTTTCTAATCTGATCCTCTATAATCCAACTAAAAAGCTCAGCCCCATCTGTGGACTCTGTAGATAAACTGTGTGCTCCAGAACTAACATGGACCATCTTTTTTGAAGTCTCACTCTATTCTCTAATCTGAATGACAGGTGTTTTTGTCCTAATTTGCATGATTTTTATTTATCTTTCCTCATCCAGTATAGAGTATTCGATAGATATAGTGAATAGAAACAATAGAAATTATTCATTTGCAAAAATAATCTGTTGTGCTAATGTCTCATCCTCGCTGGATGAGTAACCCATCACTAAATGAAATTATGCATGCCGCACGTGGCTATCTTTAACCTAAAGTAGTCAGTCTGACTAACTATGCTTCATTGAATAAGCATATGGTTATGAGAACTACTGTACAGTACTATAGTAGTGTACTGGAATTGCTAGAATCATACCANTTATTGAAACATATATATATATATATATAAATATAAACTGTAACACTTCCAAGTTTTCCTATGTTATGTCCAATAATTCAGATACATCTATTTTATTATATTATTAAATTATTGAATCCTTAATCAGATCATTACTGAAAAAAAAATTTGCTGATATGAAATTGTGAACAAAAATTATAAAACAAAATTATATATATATGATTTTGTTTTATAATTTAATTATATAACAAAATAGATGTATCTGAATTATTAAACAGTAAGATATTTTTAATTTTGGCAGAATTATTTGCTGAGAGATGCTTTTGATTTGTGTATATCATCAATTTCTTGAGACTGATATAATCATTATCAGATCTATAAGATCATAATTTGTTGAAAATATTTGTCTTATGAAGTAATTTTTACTGAATCAAAAGAATCTTACTGTTTAATTTCAGTATGTATATATTTAATGAAAAATGAAAATGAAGTAAGAAAAATGAAATAAATGCATGATATGTAAAGAATGATTGATTAATTTTGTTCGTTCTCCTTCACAGAATATTATCTTAGTTTAAGTTATAACAGTTGTGCTTAACTAACCATTTGTTATGCCTGCCTAATTATCCTTTACTGTATGTGTTCATTAATAACTGCAGGAGCTCCATCCTGCATGACTCCTTCTCCTGGTTGCCAGTTCAAGTTTGCCTGATTTTTGTTTCTTAGTGAAACAATGTCATGGTACGTCAGAGTGAAGCCACATTACTCAACATTGCCATCCCATCATGAACAACGTATTAGTACTCTTCAAAGACAGCATGGACGAGCAAAGTCGTGAGTGCAAGCAATTATTATGCTTGGTGTGCACTCCTGAAATGTGCATTTTGTATGATTTTATTATTATTATTTTTATTTTTAAAATAACAAATAAATGCTTATATAATTTTTGTTCTTGAAATTTATCTTAATAAAGATTAGTTGTTCTATATTTAACAGTATTGTTTTCATAATTAATAGCATGATTTTTTTTCTATTAATATGTTTTAAATTTCTAAAATCTATAATAAATTAATTTAGAATTTTTATTTAATATAAAAAAAAATTCTAAGCTTCAGAATATTTTAAAAATTAGAATAACATTTTAAAATAATTATAATCTCAGAGATATTCTAGTTTTTGAAAATAATTTGTATACTAAACTGTTAACACTATAAAATGTAGATTTTGAAATAACTTTAAATATCAATTTGTAAACTTTTAAAACTTTTTTATACAAAATATTTAAAATCATGCATTTAAAATTTAAATATAGGAAATATAAATAGAAATTCAATATATGATATTTTAATTATGAATAAAATTTATATATCTGCAGAATTTTTTGATTTTTGAAAAATTGAATTACTGATTGTCAGAATATGTTTTAGTGTAAATTCATATAACTTGTGTTATACAGAGTGACCCATTTTGATCAATGTATTGAAATAACTTGAAAAATATAAATCCTACAAAAAAATCATTGCACTGAAAATATTAACTCATCTTGTTGCCCTCAAGAAATCTATCAATTTTATCATAGATGGTGCTACAATTGGTGAAAATAGGTCAACTTTACTTTTTTTAATGGAAATCTCCATTTTTTATTGCATATTACGTCAAAAACAAAGTTTTTATTTAAAAACATTTTCTCGAAAGATACACTTGATTAGTGTACAGTGCACACAACTCTGTGGATATCTAAAGTTCATCATTGAAAAAAGGAAGAAAAATATTAAAAAAGAATCATTAGGAAACATTATTATTTGGTGGAATCAAGATCATCTTCTCTTTACCACAAACTTAGTGACTTTAATACACTGTGACACTAATTTTTCTATCAATTTATTTGAAGAAAATTAATGATTTCACCAAGTAATAATAGTTTTCTAATGCTTCTGTAAGCATTTTTCTTCTTTTTCAATGAACTTTACAGATATCCACAATCATATGTGCACCATGTTGTGGCCATGTATGACTTAAGACACTCATAACCTCTGATAAGTGCATGTTTTAGATTAAAGTTTGTTTTTGATGTAGAATCATAAAATGCAATAAAAATTGGTCAACTTCATTTTCAAAAAAATGGAAACCCCTAATTTTTACCAATTGCAGTGGCATCTATGATGAAATTGATAGACCCATCTTGTAGCTCCCTTCAAGTTCAATATTTTTGATACAATGATTTGTTGTGTATGTGATTGGATGTATATTTTTAAAAATTATTTTAATGGCTTGATAAAATGAACCACCCTGTATATTAATTTAATAGATGATACATCACTTTCTTTATAAGTTGAAAGAAATATTTCATAAATTAAAAATGCAACAGCTTTTATTAAAAAAATAGTGCATTTCTGAATTTTTTCAAGACAGGAAAAAAAATTGTTTAATAATTTAAGATTTGGAATTTGATTTTTGTACTTTACAAACTTATCCAAGTTGCATTCTTTTCTGCTCATAAAATAATTTTTCCATAAGAAGGAAACTTCTGTTTATAAAACCAGAAATTTTTTAAAACTAAGTTTTATAATATATGACTCTTCAAAGTTTATAAATAAAACTTACTAGAATGGAAAACTTCTAAACATTAGTTGAACAAATGCCAATATGGAATCTATATAAATAATAAATAAGTAAATATATAAATAAATAAAAAATAAGATTTAACTTTAATGCTTGTTTACCTTTAAGAATTTAAAATTATGCATGAGTTTGGTTTGAATAGTTTTCTATTTTATGTATTAGTTTGAAATAAATTATTAAAATTATTAACATTACTTTTAATTTTGAAACATTGAATTTATTTTTTGTTTAAAATAGTGATGATGCACGACACTACGAAGAAATCGAATTTAAAAGAGGAACACTTGAAAAAGCTAAATTTAACAATATATCAATTCCAGTGCCAACTACTGATATTCGAAGATCACCTACACCAATTAAGAAAGGTAAAATATTTTTATTTGTTTTTCTTTTTATCGATTTTGACATATAGTAGAATTTGCCTATTATAATCAGGTATCATCATCAATTGTATAATATGTAGGGAAGGGTGGAGTTAGTTGACAGTTTTTACTTTTTTCTATATAATGTGTAAACTAGCTGCACTTCTAAAACAAAATTATATACATTGTATACCTTATTTTTCTCTTGTTATATAAGCATAAAACCTTTAAGCATATTTTAAATAGTTCTAAGTAATTTTTTTCCACAAGTGTATGACTTGTCACAATATGCCCCAACCACAGGGCATGTTGTGACACACCATGGGACAAGCAGTGACAATAATGAAAAAGGCTTGCAAAGTACAAAGAATAAAACAATAACAGGAAAAGGCTTTTACTTAGTTGTAAACAGATAAAAATTACTCACATGAATGTAACCCGTTCTGAATATATTTGGAATGTTTTCTTTGTTATAATGTATATTCAAGGTTTTCATAATACTGCTGTTATAAAATAAGAATTTGCTAATATTAATAATAAACTGAGAATATGTTAAACTATGAAAAGTAAGAATAATAAAAGTTAACTTAAACCAAGTAAGATCTATAAATCAAAAAAAATATATATATAAAAATATATATAGATTAGGCTAGTTTTTGGCATATTTGGCATCCTTAGTCTCTTCATATGCTTCAGATTGACAATTAAGGCACACATAATAAGGATCATTGTTGGTACTGTTCATTTGAGTCTAAAAGCATGAGAATAGAAGACATTTGTGACACATTAAAGTAGAGAAAATCTATAGACATTGAAGAGTCCTGTAAAGTACATCTTTTTGACTACTTCTTTAGCCTCTCTTATGTAATCTTTGTAAGCCTGCTTTTTCCTTTTCATTTTTTTCTTGTAACTACATTCCATCTCTGAAGAAGAAGATTATAGGTTAAACAAAATCAATGGGGTAGGTTGTGACATTGGCCCAATGTGCCCTTTCATTTGTATGTCACAGTTAGCTCCAATTGCTGCTTTCTTCTTTTTCTGTCTGTAACTACATCATATTGCTACCGTAGCATTCTGTAAAATAACACCTGAAGGTCTGTTGTCTACAAACTTAAATCAATTTAAACTTAACCTCATCATTTGCTTGAACAAATCCTACTTAAAACTATAAAAAAATTATTTTTTGACTCTAAAAATACATTAATTAGTATAAGTTCAATGCTGTGCAATATTCTCTCTGACTTCATATGTAATATTAAGCAGAATACGTAGAATGTTGCAATGATGGTATTCAGTACTATCATCCTCAAGAAAAACGTTATAAGTCTTTTCACTACTTGCCCCCATCACAACTAGCTCCACTCTCCCAACTTAATTTTAAAAAATTCTTACTTATGAAAAAATATAAATATTCAAAATTTGTTATTATTTTTTTTTATACCTCAAAACATGTTTTAATCATAATTCAAACTGAGAACAGCCATTGGATACAGACTTGTAGGATGAGATTTAATCACTATACTATCCATTCTTAATTTGTTAGAATTCTTAAAAATTGTAAACTGTAATAAATTTGCATTAAATTACAAATATCATATTAGTGAAAAGTGCAAATAATAAAATAAATAGAAAAAAACAATTTAATATAATATATTATTATTACTTTCATATATGGATTAGAATGTAAAAAATGTTAGTAAAAGAACCTAAATATAAACTAATTTTTCAGACTACCAAGATGGTCGGGCTTCTCCACTTATCACAAGAAGTAGTTCTGATTTTAGAGAAAATAGAAGTTCTCCAGTTGTTACTAGAAGTACTGCCTCATTAAAAAAAGATCCTTATCATGATGATATTCCTTTCTCTAGGGCACCTTTACAGCATAAAGATGAAAAAGAATATGAACCAGTTGATGGAAGTCAGGTATTTTATTTTTAATATTAATAAGTTTTTAGTTATTTGAAATTAGATTAAACTATTTAATCTTTGCAAAATCAATTTTCAGTTGTCTCATTTGCAATTTAAACTATATAGAGGTACTGAACATCATAATATTAAATATAAAATATAAAAATATATTTTGAAGCTTGTTAAGACTGTTATCTATGATTTAGAAAAAGTACAGGAAGAGAGATATTTAAAATGTAAAGAATAAATGTAAAGCTTCAAAAAGTTGCATCTATGGAACAAAACTTAAAGAAGCAAGAGGAACACCAAGAATCCAGTATTCCCTTTTCTGAGAAATTTCTGTGCCAAAGGAGGCACTTAACCCCAAAATCTCTCACTGGATGACTTTTCCTAAATATTCTGTGATGAAATGAGGGTGTCTTATGCCTATGCTTATTATATGCCTAAAGTACAGTAATATATGAAGTATGATATTTAAATAAGAAATTTTAATATAACAGATTTACAATGTGGATTGGAGAATGAGTTAGAAAATCCCACACTCTAAGTCAGTCAAGTTCTGCAACTCCCACTTCTTTCATGTGAGTAAAATGCCACTCACTGCAGGTATTGTAATTCCAAAATATGAATTTTTTCTGGAAGACCATTGCATTTCTATACAATGTTTATTACTGCAATGATGCTTCATTCATCTAATAACTTTTTACACTTGTCCAAGTCAAGCTCCAAATTGAGATACTGTGTATTGGAAAGCAAAATCTATGTATCCAAAATATTTTAGGTAAACTAAGAAATAAATATTTAATATTCAGTTTAGAAAACAAACTGATATAAACTAAAAATTTAATACAGTGTAATCTGGACAGTTGTCATGAAAAACAATCAAATTGTTTTTTGTTGACATCAATTTGACATCAAAAGAAATTCTAGAGATAGTCTGACACAGGTAAAAATGGCAATAGTTATATGTTCAGTATTGCATAAATGCTCAAATAACAGGCTGATCAATCAATTTTATTTGACCAGCTTTCACTGATATGCACTTTTGCTTATTAATGACATTAGCATATTGTATTCAATTTCATGATTCATTTTACACCCACTAGCTTCAGGGCAAAATGTCCTATTCATGTGAAAGACCTGATAAGGACAGATAAGAACTATTTACTCTTTTAAATGATATCATAATTATTTCAAAATTTATAAAATTAAATGACTTTGGAAACTGAAAGTGTAGGCTATATCCTTTCCAGGACTGTCCTGAATACATGAACAAAGTTTCATAGAAATCAGTTCAGCCATTTTCACATGATAATCAGACTGACAGACATGAATTCAGTTTTATATATACAGGCATATCCCAAGTTATGACCATCTGATGAAAAAACAAACTGCAGATACAACTGTCATATATTTCTACCCCTATGATGATCTGATTTAGCTAACCACATCAATGATGCTTTGTCCATTTCAAGTGTTGCCATCTGTCTGGTTTTTGCATTATGTGCTCAATGTCCAGGCAAAGATAAAAAATGTCTGGGTGTTAAGAAAATTTGGCAAATCATCAATAATTATTTTTTAATGATATAGCTGATTTTTATTGCCGATGAGCATAAACAATTCTGTAGTTAGCAAGTCATTTATAACAACATTCCAGAGTAAGGGTCCAGGTAATGAGCCTTGAGGACAGCTTTTAGGGAGCAGATTTTTTTTAACAAAACCCAACTTAAGCTCAGCTGTTCAGTGTGTACCGTAGTGGGGGTGGCAGGGGCAGCCCACCCCGGGCGGCACTTTTTAGAGGGCGGCAAAATTTCACAATAAATAATAATAATATCTTGTAAAAATTTGAAACATCCTAATCTATACTTGCATCGCGCCTACAATAGTGCTATCGTCCGGACAGTCCGGGAATCGGCTCGCCGTCCGGGTGAACTAGTAATTTTTTAATTCGAGGAAATCCTGTGAAACCTGTTGTTGTTTTTTTTTTTTTTTTTGCTTGTATGATTCATTCGTGTTCATATACACTACTAATATCCAATAGAACTATTTTAAACAGGTTGCTGCACTAGCACGGAATTTTTCATTGCTTGTTCTGTGACAAAACTGAATTTTGGTCTTTTAAATTGAAATACCTAAATAAGGGGGGGGCGAAATTTTCCTCTGCCCTGGATGGCTGACACCCACGGTACGCCACTGCAGCTGTTCTGTCTTTTAAAAAATCCTTCAGCAAGTAGAAAATATTTTATGGTACTTTGGTATCTCTGATAAGTTTTAAAATTGGGAGCCATTATGCATTGTCAAATTTGTCTGATATCTAAAAATATTAAGAGACATCAATCTCTTCTTTCCTTGCTTTACAGTATTACACAATTTAACAAAAGCATCCTCTGCAGAATACTGGGGCATGAAACCATATTGGTCATTGCTTGAAAACTTTCCAAGAAGTGAAACTTTCTTTAAATAATAATTAAAAATGTGTGGGAAATGGCAATTCACAATACAACTACTATTTCATGAAATGCATTATGTACAGTACATAACCTGGGGTACTCCTGTATATAGATTTACAAGTTTCTGAAAATGTAGTGCAGTCCTATTCACAGACTTTTCATATAAAATGCATTTTGCCTTAATTTCAATAGAAAGCAATTGTAAATTTTGTGGTGTTTTTTGGAAAATTTGTTGCAAAATTTTTCATGTTTGTACTGTTTTATTATAACAATTGGATTTATTGTCAAATTCTAGTTTGATCAGTTTGATCATGGTTGTAGAGAGGAAGATTAATTACTCTATTAAAATAGAGTAATTAATCTTCCTCTCTACAACCCTGAAGTAAAGTTTAGTTCAGGGGACATAGGATTTTCTGCAAAATTCCAGTGCTTTTTAATTAAAATGTAAAAGGTATTGCATTAATTCTATATCTGTCCAGGTTTCCATGCTCAAAAATTTCTGGCTATATCCCCAGTGTAAATATTAAATAACAACAAATGTTATTAGATATTATCCAAATTATTAATAAATTTACTAATGTCATTCTTCATGAATCTGAATGATATTACTTGCCATATTAGCCAAGTTTATTATTTAATAATCTTTGTTTTAGTCTACAGATTGAATATTAAGTTGGATGCTAAATAAGATTTAGAAAATATAATTGTAATAATTAAATTTTTTTTTCTAAAATTTTCCTTTAAAGTAAAATAATTTTTTTTTAAAATTGTTCATGAAAAGAGTAGTTTTTAATATATTCTCTGCAAATATTATTAAGCTATTTATAACTTTTTTTAATAAGAATTTTATTTGTTTACCTTCAAAATAAGATTATTATATAGTTTCTAATTACTTTTTGAAATATCTATATAATTGTAATTATAGTTAGATTTATAAAAGAAGCTATATATCATCTTACATAAACTTGTAATAAATTATTTAAATATATTTATTAGTTTTAAAGTAATTGTGTTTTTGAATTTCTTAAACAAACAGCTTCATATAATTGCCAAATTTCAATAGTTATGCTGAAATGTATGAAATGACATTTTTTTTTCAGTTTGATGATAGTCATATTGACCGACCTCTGTCAACTAGTTCAAAGAAAATGGATGAATTATATGATATTCCTGTGGGTGCAACAACTGTTGATTTACCACCAGGAGTTCTTTATAGGGTATGTTATATTTACATAAATTTACTGTAGGATAATATCTGAATATCTAATACTGTAGTAAATATCTGAAGGACAATATAATCACTTAAGTTTATCATAAGTTTAAATGTCTTGACTGTTCTTTATTACTTGATCTGTGCTGATTATGATTTGGCATGTTCAAAAATATAGGAGAGAAATTTTATTAACTTAATATTTTTCTTTACTTGTAAATAACGAATGCATTTATTAAATTTTTCTTTAATGTAAATAAAAATATTTACTTTATGCTTCTAACACAATAAAGTGCTATAAATTAAGACACTTGGCGGGTTGTCTCATCTTTATTTAGTTGATCCCGTGACCCTTTGCGGCAGCGGCCATTATGGGTCTTATATCCTTCACGAGGTTCCAGTATGAGACAACCCGCCAAGTGTCTTAATTTATAGCACTTTATTGTGTTAGAAGCATAAACGAATTGCAAAGCACGGTTTCATATCATCAAAAAAAAAAAAAAATTACATTAAAGAAAAATTTGAAGAAATCTTGAAAAAGAAAATGTTATCAAAAAAAAGATGAAGAAATATTAAAATTGAACACAGTTTTATTAATCAATATGTATTGAATTAAAACTATAAAATATATTTTTTTACATAAGATTGTTTTCTTTCAATATATATATAGAATATATACAGTAGAATCTTGTTTTAATAGATTGCTTGGGTCTCTGAAAATCATTCATTGTTCTGAGAATTCATTATATTGTAAACAATAGATTTCCCACACCAAGCAAAATATCTGTTATTTAACCCCCTACATATAAGAAATATCTGTACTTGAATTTATTTAGTCTCTTGAGATCTCTATTCTATAGAAACAAATATGTTACAAGATTTCATATTATGCCATGTGTGTACAACAAACCTGATGAAAACTGTATATACTATAAGCATGAAAATAGGCAAATTAGGTATGCTTATTAGCACTTTGCTTGACTTTATGATTTGTTAAAAGGAAGCTCATCCATCTTGGTTTGTTTTGATGCTGCTTTTCTGCCTATTGAATACAACAACCTCTTGATATTAGCAATGTCATGTACAGCCTGTTTGTTTATGCTGAAACTCATGAGGAAGGTCTTCACAATTTAGTAAGATTTCATGGCCTTGCTAAATTTTGGACTAGACTTTGACCACGTCAGAATGTTCATGAGATGGCTCGTTCTCAATCATATCAACCTGCTGACTCTCTTTGTATAATTCTTCAATTGTACGTATCCCAGATGTAACAAGTGCATCATTGATCTTTACAAATTCTCAGAAACACCCAAATATTAACTAAATGTTAAAAATGCAAAGTTTACAATTAATGGGGCTAGAAAAAATCTGTTAGTTATTTCAAGTTACAGATTTGTTAAAAGGAGATAAAATTACATTGAATCTGACCTGGGGGAAAAATCCATTATTCTGAGAGATCTGTTGTTCCATGATCCATTAAAACAAGATTGTACTATAATACAGTAAAAATTATTGATATACAAAAGTATGGAGAATAATTTGAGATAAAATTTTTATAGGTAAGAGCAACATATAAATACACAGCTGAAGATGTAGATGAATTGGGATTTGAAGGTGGAGAAATTATACGTGTTGTGGAATTTGATGATCCTGAAGAACAGGTAAATATTTGAGCTAGATTAATTATATTAAATTATTTTAGTTTTTTAACATTTATTTTTAATTACTCCATTTACTATTAAAACTTTAAATAATTAAGTTTATTTACACAATTATTTAATAAAACTTATAGGGTAGATATGATGATATACTCAGGGCCACTGAGAGCTTGTATGACGTAGGACAGGCCTCCTCTGCTCTTTAGTGGATCCCTTTTGCTGTTGTTTTTTTCTTTTTGCACAAATAAATTATGTAGAATTTTTTTAATAGTGTCTTAAAGGTTCTATTTTTTGTTAGTAAAAATAACATTAATTTACAGGGTTAGCAACCATTATGGTTCCCAAAGTTTCTCCAGCCCCTGGGAAAAATCCCCAGCTGACAATCCCTCTGGACAGTCCCGGTTATACTATACATAAATTAATTATCAATTTTAGAAAAAGTACATGATTATAAAAAATAATTTTCTCCTAAATACTATTGTATTATGTCTTTTTATATACATATTTGAATTCTACAATTTCAATCTTAAAGAAAAAAATTATGTCGAATTTTTTATATGAAATTGTTTAATGTAGAAATAATTCTGTTAATTTTGGGAACTAATATATAAAAATATTTGTAATTATAGTTAGATTTATAAAAGAAGCTATATATCATCTTACATAAACTTGTAATAAATTATTTAAATATATTTATTAGTTTTAAAGTAATTGTGTTTTTGAATTTCTTAAACAAACAGCTTCATATAATTGCCAAATTTCAATAGTTATGCTGAAATGTATGAAATGACATTTTTTTTTCAGTTTGATGATAGTCATATTGACCGACCTCTGTCAACTAGTTCAAAGAAAATGGATGAATTATATGATATTCCTGTGGGTGCAACAACTGTTGATTTACCACCAGGAGTTCTTTATAGGGTATGTTATATTTACATAAATTTACTGTAGGATAATATCTGAATATCTAATACTGTAGTAAATATCTGAAGGACAATATAATCACTTAAGTTTATCATAAGTTTAAATGTCTTGACTGTTCTTTATTACTTGATCTGTGCTGATTATGATTTGGCATGTTCAAAAATATAGGAGAGAAATTTTATTAACTTAATATTTTTCTTTACTTGTAAATAACGAATGCATTTATTAAATTTTTCTTTAATGTAAATAAAAATATTTACTTTATGCTTCTAACACAATAAAGTGCTATAAATTAAGACACTTGGCGGGTTGTCTCATCTTTATTTAGTTGATCCCGTGACCCTTTGCGGCAGCGGCCATTATGGGTCTTATATCCTTCACGAGGTTCCAGTATGAGACAACCCGCCAAGTGTCTTAATTTATAGCACTTTATTGTGTTAGAAGCATAAACGAATTGCAAAGCACGGTTTCATATCATCAAAAAAAAAAAAAAATTACATTAAAGAAAAATTTGAAGAAATCTTGAAAAAGAAAATGTTATCAAAAAAAAGATGAAGAAATATNATTGTTTTAAGATTTGATGAAATAATAGATAGTTAAATAAAAAATAAATATTATAATTGCTTTAAAATACATATAAATTAAAAATCATAAGAATTTAAGGTTTTAATTGAATTGTGTTAATTAAATGGAAAATGGTCCAGTGATAATTTAAGACTAAAGTCTTTTATATTTATTTTTAGTAGAAAAGAAAATTATTTTCTTTATTAATTATATAATTGTTATTATTAAGTAATATTTCTTTCTTTTAAAAGAAGCTATAAAATAATTTTATAAATAATTTTTTTTAAAAATTGTTCTTTTATTAATTTTATATAGGAAGAAGGATGGCTTATTGGAATTAAAGAGTCAACTGGTGAAAAAGGTCTATTTCCAGCTAACTTCACACGTCCTATTTAAACTTCTCAACTACTTTCACTATTCATCCACAACTCTGATTATTGTAATAATTTTACTTGAATTCAAAAATTCCTTTTATTGGTTTTAATATCTTTTTGATATTACAAATTATCCTATCACTGATTTTTGAAAAATATACAGAATTAATTATTTCCTAATATTATCAGAAAAATTAAACACATTTCTACCCTAAATTAATAAACTATTATATTACTTAATAATAATTATTTTCTAGTCTAGAATGAATTATGTATGCATGTAATGAATGAATGGTGTATGAAAATGTGCTAAATATAATCTAGTCACCACACCTCTTCCCAATTTAGAATAGCTTGTTGTAGGTAAGAAATGCAATGGCAAAATCCTTGTTTTATTATAGCATAAGAACCTTACTAAATGACTTGTATATCAATTTAAAATACACAGTTTTTTTAATATTTAAATTTATTTGACATTAACATTGATATACAATTGTTTAGATAATTATGGACAAAAATAACACAATAATTCCAGTAAATTTTTTGTTAAAAAATTAACTTTTGAAAAGATTTAAAAGAATATGCAACACCAGTATGCCTTATAGTTAATATTTTATAACATAAAATACAAGTATTATTGTTTAATATATTGTGCTTCGATAAATCATTGTTAAGGCATTTACACCAGAATCTTTATGTAGGCTTAATTTGATTCAAGTGATGATCTAATACATAAGGATCAATTCTTTAAGAAACAAATTATAATTGATATAAAAGGAACTTACATAAAAAATAATTAATGGATATAAGAGAAATTTATAATTTGCATAATATTTTTTTAGATAGTTAATGACAATAAAGATTTTGGTGTATTTGTTTGTTTGTTTGATTCAAATTTTATTATTGTTATTACATATCTCCTGTTCTCCAATAAAATTCAAGAATTCTTTTTCATTGAGTTTACAAAATGGCTTTTTGTGTGTTTTCAACTTTTTATGATTTCTTTTGTTAAATATTTTTGAATTTGATAAGTCATTCTTGAATCAGTTATACTAAAATATACAATAGCAAATAATGCATTTAAATTTAATTAATATTGGTTTGAAAATCTTCAATTTTATAAAGTTTGTTTTCTAAAATTATAGATTGAATAAATTATATTATTAAATCTTGAAAAAATTGAATTTTTATAAAATTTAATATAAATGTTTTGTTCTTTATATACAAAAATGTTGCTAACTTTTATAAAATATGAAATTTATTAATTAAATTTAAAACAGGAATAGTTACTGTTTAGCTTACATCTTTTATAAAATAAATTTACTGTTATTTTTTAAAATAATAATAATGTAGTAATAAAAATTTTAAGAATGTAAAATTACTATATAAATTTTATAAGTACTTTACAAAGTGAACTTGTCAAAATATATGAATTAGATGAAAGATATTGTTAATATCTTGAAAACCAGCTTATAAAATCAGAATAAAACTTTTTTCAAGTTTTTTGATAAAAGCTTTACTGAAAAAATTCTGTATTTTCTTAACTTTTTGATAGAAAATGTTATGACACTTCCTTAAACAAAATCAAAATTAACATAATAAATATTCATGAATTGTTATACATGATTTTTTTATCATTAATGCATTGTAATGTATTATTATATACAAAATTATTAAATTATATTGTAAAGCAATTCTAGTGTTGAATTGCTAGCCGAATATCAGTTTTTAATATTGTTTTCATGATATTCTAAAGTATCTTTCTGCATGTTAGTAATTTTATAAGTGTAATATACTATATTTATAAATGGTTTACATTTTTAAAAATAGTGAAAATGTAAAAATTTCTTAACTTTTAACTGCATATTAATAATTAACAAGTTTTTGAAAACATTACTTTTAAATACTCTATTTTTTTCTAACTAAATTTTTCAGAATTAAAATGAAATTTATTGAAAAATTAATCAGTTAAAATTTATAGAGTTTATAAGTTAAAAATTTATTTGTATTTTAATATATTGTTGCAGAGAAATAGTAAATTGTATTATGATTTTGGTAATAAATTGTTTGATGTGATCATTTTGGTTTTTTAAATTTTTTCGTGCATATTCTCTTCTGATAATGACTATTATTGTATGATTCTACTGACAAATAATTGGCATGTATCAGCTATAAGTTGATGACAAAGCAACAAGCCTTTGTCATCAACAAGCTATAGGTTGATGACAAAAGGGGACAAAGCAGTAAGTCTTTGTCCCCTTTTGTTATAAATACCAAAAATAAGCCGGATTTACGCTTCAAGTAGATGCCATTAATTCTAATTATAAAGCAAAGAAAAATTCATTCGAAATATATTTTCGATACAGGGTGTTCATGATTAAAATACTTCTATTCAACATCGTTTAGAGATTTTTAGCAGCCCAAATGAACTTAGTATACTACTTAGTATACTAACTTAATAAATACTACTAAGTATGGTGACATTTACGTGCAAAAATTAGTACCAGAATTTGCCACTACGGCATATTTGGCGCTGCAAGCAACAAACATTTTATCTTTACAAGACATTCGTGTTATATAAAGATCTTAGTGACGCAAAGAATACTCTAATGTAAGTTTTCATTCTGAAGGCAATGAACCAAAGGCCATATTCGAATCTAAGACGCGCCTTAATTTCTCACCTATGGATTTTTTTTGCTTTTAAATAGACAACTGACAAATTTTATGTCAAAAGAAATGTTCAATATTGCAAGTAAATTATATATAATTATCTTCCATGATATCGAAATCGGAAACCCTTTCACGTGCCCTTTCGCATTGTTTTAGTCACGTTCCTGATTATTAGTTTAGCTTGATTTAATTTTAGTAAGCTAAAACTAACACTAGATTCGATGTTAACATATGGTCATACTCTTTTCCGTTTAAAGCATCTGAAATGCAACATTCTTAAAAAAGCGCTGCACAACTTTTTCTGGGATTTTAATCCAAGTACAGTACTTACGATATTATTGTATTAGACTAACGAGATTGAGCTAACAAGTTACCTCTTAAATATTTCATATTACAATATTGTCTAATAAAATTATTAAAATTACGCCATAGAATTAGTGAGAAAGAAGACATGACAGTAGGGTCGCTAATTATGACGTATTACGTTGAATCTAAGAAGCACCGTATTTTCAGGTATCCCATAAACTGGTTAAACAAACTTATACACAGTGAAAACATCTACTGTAAATACAGGAAACTTTTGAAAGTTAGGGCATAAGAATACTGGAAGCAGATCTGACAGTGCCTGAAAGTTCCTTCACTAATGTTGCTCAAAGATACTCTAATGTTCAGCCAAATTATTATAGGCGCAATAATTTGGCTGAAACAAAGCAGGCACAAAGTAAAGCTCGAAGCCTTTTTACCACGACAATGCTTGTTTTTCTTCTTTATTATCATGGTGCCATTGTTTCATCCAAAACTTCCTGTCTATAATGTGCACTTTATTTACATGTTGAGTCTTACTGTCAAATATGCCTCCAGTATTCTTGTGTTACAACTTTCAAGATTCTTTTATTTAAATGTTTTCGCTGTGCTTTATTTTTCAAACTGGTTCCACCAATTTTTTCAGTCATCAACAATTTCATAATAAAATAGTTTTCATAATAATTCTATATTCGCCTTGACGTAACGCAGAGTATCATGCGACTATCATGTCACGAGATAACTGGCTGACGACTAATAAGCCAAAATTTAAAAACGGATATTTTTTAAAATAAATACTCTATTTTAAAATCATTAGGTTTATATTAATGAATACATCAAAAGTAATTGGAAGTCGTGAAGTCACGTGGTAATTATCTGAGATCACATGATAGCCCATTTTTTTAAAGTTTAACATATTGGTCAAGCCTCTATTATTTTATAAATACTCAATATTTATTACATAAAACCCTCAAATAGGAGGCAGTCAGTGCTCGAACAATCTATCAAACGTGAGCGGATTCCAAGACTTGAGGCAAAGTTGCCAACCTTACGGGAGAAAATTATCGTATCTGCACCTTGAATAGAAGACACTTCCATTTCAGTACATATTTAGTATTTATATAAACCATCTCGCGACAGATTGCTTACTGATGCAAGGAATGTTGTTCAATGTGTTACCCATTGTTTAAGTGTGAAATTTGAAAATATGTTCGGCTGCCTGTTCTCTTGTGATGCTTCGCACATGCAATGCCCTTAAAGTCTGCCAATGTTGCAACGTTAACATGATAAACCATTCTTTAAATGGCTATAAGGCTATTTAAAGAAACCGACTGCTCAGAGCAAGAGGGTTACAACTCAAAATTTTCGATGTTTTAGTTATTGTACTTATGGGAATGCTTGTATCGAGTTCTATCTTATGTATAAAGAATATATCTCTAAATGACTTATTATGGCTCTGGGATGTACATATAACAGTTTTGCAATATGCTAATACACTCTGTTATTGAATTCAAGAGGGTTACATTTTGAGTTGTAACAGTTTTCAGCTNAAATCAGATCAGGTTATTTAAGAAAAGGGGAGAGTTTATTAGAGATGAATAATTTTGTCTGTTTATAATGAATAAATTCAAAAATTCTGTTGTTAAAAGTTTAAAATCTTTGGCGAGGCTGTAGACGAAAGGTTATTAACACGAGCAGGATGTAAGGTTACCAGCTTTCGGAAACGATGAAGCGAGAGAACAGTTTAAAATTTTTGCCACGAAAAAATTATAAATTCAACGAACTTTTACGCACGAATATATTTCAGTATAATTTCTCGAATAAAAATTTAAAAAAGTAATATTACAACTATATTATTATAAATATTTTTTGTTTTTTTTGTAGTATCTAACATATTAAAGAACGTTTTTATTATGTATTTACAGTATTATTAGATTTATTTATTTTATGTATCAGCTGTTGTTGGAGTATCTGAATTTGGCACAGACAAAATTCAATTCGGCTTTCGAAATTGCAACTCTAATATCTGCATAGGCTAATGCGTGCGTAAAATGTAAGTATTCTGATAGATGAGTAGTCATTTGAGAAATGTTATCATGTTTTTTGAAATCCGATTGGTCAATTGTAAAATCGCTAACATTTTATTCACGCATTGTATTAAAATAAACATAAATTGTAAATGAATCTGATGCGCACATTTTAAAAAGGAAGAAGGAAATATATAAAAAGGATTTTGTATAAAAAGGATTTTATATATTTTATCTTTATTATTCGATAAAAATTAGATATTCAGGATTTTTTTTTTACTTCAACTGGATGAGAGATTTGTATCGGAGAGTGCAGCATCCCAGCAATATGCTGGCTGTCACATAAAAAAAAGTACCCAAATAACAGCTGGAAAGTATGGCAACTCAGAATAATGCGTTGAATGTTCCATGAACTCACGCATATCCATTTTCAGTTTATTTGGGATCGATTTTTGTCAGAAAGATGCAATTTTCAATTCTAATAACGTGCATTATAACAATAATACAGTATTTACTTAAAAAGAAAAAAATACGTTCAATATTTTCTCATTGAAGCAAGAAATTTGTATTGGATTCGTCGTTTCGGTTCGCTATCATTACAACTTATATCCCATTCGGTTGAGTAAATTTTCTTATAATGAGTTTAAAACATTATAGAATTTTGATTTAAATCGGATAATCCAACTATTTTAAGTTTCCAAGTTTAATTTTATAATTTATAAAAGTAAATACTCTTTGCAGTTTTAATAACGGCGTATAAATTTTTGATTAAAAAAAGTATGGAACGGAATCACATTTTCATAAAGATCTGTATTATATTATATTTTTCTCGTGAAGGAGTTCCTACTAGTGGTCGAATGGCTAAAACTACCGAACATTGATAGTTGATCGCGAGTTCAACTACCAATGCTCGATCAATGAGCTGGCTGTGTAGAATTTTCCGGATTTTTTTCGTGTGTCTAACATCTAAATAAGGATCAGTTTCTCATATTTTCTATAAAAACGTCCTTCAGAGTGGTTCTTGAAGGACTTTCTATGCCCACTTGACAGATCACCCATATGTTGCAATGCCGATCCCATCGAACCAAACCAGTTAAAATTTATTAATTTTCTATCGAAGAATTTTAGTGTAATAGAAAATATTTTACTATTCCATATTATTTGTTTAAAAGTTAATGATTAAATATTATTTCTAACTCAATGTAATGACTATAATTAACATTCAAACCAAATTCCATTGATTTTAAACAATTCCCTGATTTATCAGCTGGAATTGAAAACTTCAAATGGCTCTCCTGAAAAATCTATATTTTTGAGTTGTAACACTCTTGTTCTGAGCAGTCGAAACATGCACTCTCTGGCAAAGTGATGGCCATCGTATCTATAACTAATTAGAATGGTATTCACTAGTTGTCAGCATATTTGTATCCAATCTCGGCTGCATTTCACGTGACTACGCGTATCACATTTCTTTGCTTGCAGCACCGTAGCGGACAATTTTGGAACTAAAATTTTTATTTGCAAAATCTTTTCTCGCGTCCTTTGAATAGCGTGTACACAAATTTTGGTGTCAATCAGCTTATTATTTGGATCTAAAAAGTATTCTAAATAGGACAACTTTAATTTCGATTACATTGTATCTTACTGCTAAATTATTAATATTTCTTTGGTGTTTTTTTCTTTTGCAAGCCTGATGCCATATAGTAAGCATTCTTAGCTTTAAAGATGTTTATGCGTGCCATAGTTTTAGATTTCGAATAACGACATTTAAAGATATTAAACGAATATGCTTTAACTAGAATAAATTTAAAAAAGCTGATTGAAAGAAAGGATAATCGGATGATAAATCAAAAGAATGATCGAAAAAGACAGATAATAAATCAAAATCTTATGATACGTTACGTGCTAGATGATTTCTTCCTACGTGCCACTTTGGGCACGCGTGCCATAGGTTCGCCAACCCTGGTATATCTTAATAAATTATAGTATTGTATATCACCTTCTCGTTTTCTACCTTCACCATCTGTTAACGGGAGTTTACTGTTCTCAAAAAATTTCAATTAGGTAGAAAACAAAAAATCAGATCAGGTTATTTAAGAAAAGGGGAGAGTTTATTAGAGATGAATAATTTTGTCTGTTTATAATGAATAAATTCAAAAATTCTGTTGTTAAAAGTTTAAAATCTTTGGCGAGGCTGTAGACGAAAGGTTATTAACACGAGCAGGATGTAAGGTTACCAGCTTTCGGAAACGATGAAGCGAGAGAACAGTTTAAAATTTTTGCCACGAAAAAATTATAAATTCAACGAACTTTTACGCACGAATATATTTCAGTATAATTTCTCGAATAAAAATTTAAAAAAGTAATATTACAACTATATTATTATAAATATTTTTTGTTTTTTTTGTAGTATCTAACATATTAAAGAACGTTTTTATTATGTATTTACAGTATTATTAGATTTATTTATTTTATGTATCAGCTGTTGTTGGAGTATCTGAATTTGGCACAGACAAAATTCAATTCGGCTTTCGAAATTGCAACTCTAATATCTGCATAGGCTAATGCGTGCGTAAAATGTAAGTATTCTGATAGATGAGTAGTCATTTGAGAAATGTTATCATGTTTTTTGAAATCCGATTGGTCAATTGTAAAATCGCTAACATTTTATTCACGCATTGTATTAAAATAAACATAAATTGTAANTTACAATCAATTAAAATATTCCTAATTAATTATTTTAGTAATTACAAAAATGTATATTTATAAAAATATAACTTTTCAATTAATTTTAAACATTCCCATTTGCATTTAGAGAATTGAAACTGGAAAAAAGTTACTAAAATCAAATTCAAAATTTGATTTTTAAGATGAAATTTTTTCCATAATGTTTGAAATTACACAGTTCATTTTATTCTAAGCTATGTAAACCTTATTTACATGTTTGTAATCGGTAATATTACAGATTACAACGGTGAAACGTATCACGAGACAACAAACACGAATTACATATAATACCCGTAATGGTGTAAAAATTAGAATCTCAGAAAATATGGCAATTTAATGCTTGATTTTAGTCAATTTCCCTTATTTTTCATCAGTAAAAATTATAATCTGCATCTCTTACTTGGCTATAATCATAAATTGACTGCATCTGAAGGTGAAAAAACTTGTCGATATCTCTAGCTGTAGAATTCATTAAAACCAGAATTTCTGGTCTCAAGGAACATTTAGAATTTTAATTATATAGATGCATTGATTCATCTATTTTCATTATCGCTTTCGGGATAAGTAACGTAATAAGATGGACTTTTTCGAGGTCTTTGTCTTCCCGAACCGATTGGTGGTGCAGGAAGAGGAAGAAGTTTAGTAGGAGCGGGCAATGTCTGTTGATTCATTCTCGGATAGGTAATGGCAAGCGGAAATGGTGGGTAACAAGTGCAGGTGGTCGGTGGAGGTTTAAGACAGGTGCATTTTCCTTGTGCTCTAAGAGCCAAAGGTCCTGCTAATGGACCGGCTGTATAGTGAGGGCGTGCTCGTCTCAGTCGAATGATACAGATAATGATAATCAAGATACAGACAAAGGCAACTACTCCGGCAATTATTCCGATGATCATGGTATCAACCTTGGTTAATGTAGTCTTGTTAATTGCACTAGGTGGAACGGACATTGCGGGTCTACGAGATGTGGTCTGTTCGTATAACACTTCGTAGGACAACGTTGTCTGAATTATCGGTTTCTGAGATTTTGTGCTCGGAAGTACAGTGGTACTATCTTCTGTACACACTAAGTCGTTCTCTTTCAGACTCTTTACGCGTCGACTACGTAAATGTGGTGGACTGAAGCATAAAAATTTATATGGAAGTGTCTTTTCTCGCAAATACTTCCATAAAGGAACGAGATGACAATCACACGATATGGGGTTATTCTCTATACCTAACATGGTTATGTCTACTTGTTTATTTAAAATTGCAGTCAAAATATCTGGAGTTATCGTTCTTAGTTGGCTCTTGGAAAGGTCGAATATAATCTTAGACATAAGTGGAAGAGGTCTAAAAACATTAGAAGATAACGAAGCAATTCCATTGTCGGGTAAAGATATCGTTATTTCGGGACTATTAATTCCTGCAAGTGAACTACTCGAAAGTGACATCAGTTCTTTTCCCGTAATTGCCAACTCTTTCAAGCGAGGAGAAAAAATTGAATGCAATTGATCCTGAAGTTGTGGATCTTTGATTTCCACTTTCAATCGTTCCACTCCAATGATATCAGCTAAACAATATTTGATATCGATATTATGCAACAACGGATAACCAAATAACCACAGTTCACGTAATTTTGTCAATCCACGAAGTCCTTCGCAATCGAATTGAGTAATTTCTGTGAGATTATCCAAGCGTAGCACTTTAAGATTTTTTAAATTAGAAAAATCGCTTCTGGAAATGTATACTAAAGGATTACTCGATAAAATTAATTCAGACAGACGAGGTAATTTCAACCAAACGTTGTTTAAATGAACCCTGATGTTAGGGATTTTATTTCCAGATAGATTTAGTGAAGTCAATGAGCTTGCTTTTTGGAATATTACATCTTCGATGCTCTTTAATTCGTTACCTGATAAATCGAGTTCTTTTAAAAATGGGCTTTCTATCGTCGGTAAACTTTTTATTCCAACGTTTCTTACATACAACTTCCGGACACTTTTAGGCTCACCAAATATAACTTGATAAGCTTCATTAGAAAGAGGATTATCAGATAAATCCAGCTGTTTTACGTTAACTAATACATCAGAATTAGATGGAAGATTTGAAATTTTGTTCAGAGAAATATTCGCTTTTTCTAGATACGAATATTGTTTTTTTAATGCAGTTGTCGGAAATTCCCGAAAATCGTTTCGAGCAAGGTTAATACTTTCTAATTTGAATACAGATTGCCTATTGAAGAGGTCGTTAGGAAGAGAATTCAAATTATTTCCGCTTAAATCGAGATTTAGCCTATAAATTCCTTTAAAAGTTGCCGGTGAAAGTGAAGTAATGAAATTATCTCGAAGATAAATCCAGTGGAGTTGACTCGAATTCTGAAATGCTTTTTCATCTATTTTACTTATCTCGTTTTCTTGAAGTTCAACTGTCCTAAGATTCGGCAAATTGGAAAAATCAAAAGCTTGTAGCGATTTTAACAAATTTCGACTTAATATTACATGTTCTAGATTATTTAAAGAAGATAATATTTCTGTTGGCAAGAAAGATAACCTGTTAGAGTCAAGATTGACGCTCTTTAGTTGAGGGTGGACTCGAAAAGAGTTTGGATATAGATAAGTAATATAATTATTACTAAGATTTAACTCTTCTAAATTATCTACTTTATTAAATATTTCAGCTCTAAACGAAGTTAATTCATTATTACTCAAATCTAAATATTTTAAAGCAGGCAAAGTATCGAAAGTAGCTTTTTCTATCTCAGTTAATCCATTATATCCAAGATATAAAAACTTTAAGGAATGCATATTCTTAAAATAACTTTCTCTAAGTTCTTTTAATCTATTATTATTCAATCTAAAAACAGTTAAATTTAAAAATGCTTGAGATGGAATATAAGTTAACAAATTATGACTCAAATCTAAATTTAACAGTCCATGAATTTTGATAAATGAGTCAGGAAATAACCGTTCTAGTCTATTTCTGCTTAGATTTAAATGCTTTAAGTTTGTCATTTGATCGAAACTATCTGGTGAAAGTGTTGATAATTTGTTGTTATCTAAATTTAAAGATACCATTCGAGGAAAATCCAGTCTGGTAACTCGGGATATATCGTTATTTCCTAGATCCAGATGCTCTAGAGTGCTGCTAGATATTCTCAGTTTATCACTAGATAGTTGTGGAAGATTGTTTCCACGCAAGTTGAGCACACGTAAATTGATAAAATTTTGAAAAGTTCCATCCGGAATCTCAGTTATAAGATTATATGATAATGATAATTCATCTAATTGATTAACAGACATCAAAATATTTTTCGGAAGAGCTTTGATTCTATTATAATTTACATTTAACTTACGAAGATTCGTAAAAGTTGTAAGAGATGGAAAATTCAAAAAAGAGTTGTGTTGCATGGAAAGTTCATTTAGATTTTCTAATCCACGAAACGTTTTATTATTTGGATTGTATATGTTATTCAAATCGATGATTAACGATTTCAATTTACTGACACCGGTGAAAAAATTGCTTGGAAATATAAAAATCCTATTTCTGCTTAAATTTAAAATTTCTAAATCTTTTAAGGCTGTTAAAGATATTCCATCTAACGATTTTATTTTGTTGGAATGGAGATAAAGCTCTTTTAAAGTTGGAATTTTTTCGAGAGAATTCAGAGGTACAGTATGGAAGAAATTATTTGACAAATCCAACACTTCTATTGCTCTTAATCCTGTAAATACGTCTTCAGTTATCCGACGAAGCTTGTTTTTTCTTAATAGTAATACTTTTAAATACGTTAAATTGAAGAACGTCCCATCTTGAAGAGACGAAATTTGATTTCCTGTCAAATTTAAGGTCGTTAGAGATTGAAGCTTGGGAAAAGATGATCTTGATAATTCTATTAAATCGTTTTCTTGCAGTAGAAGAGATTTAAGCGAGATTAAGTCTTTTAAACTTTCTGTAGGAACAACACTCAAATCGTTCAGCTCCAAATTCAATATCTAATAAATGAAACGATTTGTTAGCAATAAAAATGATTCATATTTTCTAGCAAAAGTTAACATATGGTCTTGTAAAACGTGTACACTGTAAAACGTGTACAGTACATTTAAGTACTGTACACGTTCTAAAATCTAAAAAAGTCATAAACAGTAGGGCCGGAAAAAGAGGAAAGCTAGGGCCTGTAGAGGGCCCGAGTATCATTTTTTATTATTTCATACCTATAACTTGAATCTAGTGTTAATTATTCTATGAATTTAATGAAATTGGGAATTATATGAGAAGTTCAGTTAATTGAAATATAGCAGCCTGATATTATACTATGAATATTATTAGTAGTATGAAGGATGTATGAAGTGCTAATAGAAGTTTGAAAAATTAATTTATATGATTTCAAGTATATAAAGGAAAAAAAAGACATGTAACAAACATAAAACCTCTCATCAATAGGGGTAGAAGACTTTGGAAACACTCTAGGCCCAAGACACGTGATTGTTCCTCATGGCCCTAATAAACTCTTTAGATTTTAGAATTTGCCTTAAATTCTTTTATTTATTATATAGTAATGTTTAAAAATATATGTTTAGTAAAACAATATAGCATATAAATAATCTAAATATTATGTATTTCTTGCTTTATATTATTAAATGATAACATTAATGACAAATTTCATGAAACGTCATCACGTTTAAAATTAGATTAATAAAGAAGTATTCTTACTCTGATACTTTTTTAAAAAGAAATTTAATCTAAAAAATAATTCAATTAGTTAAAAATACTGAAATCTCACCTCCAAACTAATTAGTCCTTCAAAAACTCTGGAATCGATAGATCTTAATTGATTAGAGGATAAATCTAAAATTTTAAGATTTCTTAATTGTCGAAGTTCACTGGTTGAAAATATTGGATTGAGCTGATCACCTAACTTATTGTGACCAAGATATATTTCTTCTAAGGTGTTTTGTACACCATCAAACATTCTTTCTGTCAATCTTCGTAAGAGATTATGAGAGAAATCCACAGTTTCCAGAGGTATAGCACTGGCTGTAAATAATAATGTTTCTAAAGTTTGTATTCCGGCGTGTCTTTGACGATATCCATGGATTCTGTAACGATGAGGAAGAACCGGAAAATTACCAGCAAACGAAACTCTATCGCAATCGACGATAGTTCCGTTTCGTAAATCTTGATCACAGAAACACGGAAGATTCATAAGTCTTCCAAATATATCTCCACACTGTTTCCTGCACGATGTCAGAGCAAAAAAACATATCAGCAGCATCCATTTGAAAAGCGAAACGTCCAAAATACCTTTCATCTCTATAAAAGAAAGAAAAAAAAAAAAAAGTAGAAATGAACGAGACGTCATTTGCATAAAATGGATAAAATTTCATTAAGTTTTTTCTTAATAGTTAATCTTATAATTTCTATTCGGTGTAGACATCCCATAATGCATAATTCTCACGCAAAATGTAGCAAGGTCAAGATAATAAGACGAGTCGAACCGGTTCTCGTCATGAAGATGAAGTTAGAATATTGCAGTTACGAAGAATTTTACATTGATTCCGGACAACTGATGATGCATTACTTCCTGATATTATTTTAAAGCTATTAAAGTATATTATAATTTTTATAAAAGTCATCATAAATGATACATATTAAATTATATTATATCCTTTTAAATTTTTCTAATTTAATCCCGTTGCGTAAATACATCTACTTAATAAGAATGAGAGAGTGATTATCTACTATACAATCATGGAATAAGCATTTTAATAATACTAATAAAGTAACATTTACTGTAATTATCTTGTTAAGTAAGATTGCTTACGAGTAGCATTTTTAAACAATTGTAAATTTTAAGTTTGAAGGAAGATTAGATTTTGAATTAAACGACATTTTACGTTTCGTTGATAATTTCTAATGCTCATTCATCTTCCCTCTTTAACAATTAAAAATAGATTTAAAATTAAACAAATTAAAATATCTAAATGCGGAAACAAGAAGTTAGGATACTTATGAATAATTGATAACATTTATATATATCCATCAAAGAAAATTATTATGGAAATTCCTTTTGAAGAAGCTCATTTATGATAATTATGTAATATTTAATAAATAAATGTGCATTAGTATACATTAATGCTTAATTAGTATTGATATCTAATTTAGAAATTCTGAAAATAATTAAAAAATAATAATTATTATGATTTGAATTCCGATTTTTACTAAATATTTAAAAATTAAATAAAATCCTTAAAAATTAAAAATAATGAATTTTTACTTTAAAATTAATTTATTGTATGATTTAAAAACAAAAGATCTAATAAAATATAAATTTTTGTAGCCTAACTAAAAATAGTTCTAAACTGTAATAGAAATACATTCATACCTTCTATTTTTACCGTAAATATTAAAAAATATATATATATATAAAGAAGGTATTAATATAATATAATCTATATAAACGAAGATACGAATAAACGAATTTGGCTTTCCTGCTAAGATTAGCTTATTTAAAACCTTCAGAATAGAAAAAAAAAGGTATAAAAGTTCATAGATCGTTGACCAACCATGTAGTCTGTTGTTACGAAATTGCAGTTTCTCTTCCACCCATCCTTAAGTTGTTGCGGTGATTTAGAGCGATAAAAAGAAAGTCGAGCGACTTTTTAACATGCCACAATAAAGAATTCCACGATGAAATAAAAAATAACTCATAGGTAAATGCTTTCAAAAGATTACTTAATGATAAATTGAAAAACTTTTTCTATTTATATATCTAGCTCACAGAATAAAAAAAAAAAAAAAAACATTTTATTCTGCCTTTTTGTATGTCTGTATAAATTATTCAGGTGGAGTGTTGTAGTGCATTGAATCATCCTTCCTTTTATGATCTATGCGTTGCATAAGTTAAATAGCTTATTTATTTCACAACTATTTCATACAAAATTACACATCTCTCACGTTTTAAGACGTTTAAATTGCATTTCATAACGTATATATAAGAGAAAACTTCCTTCATTTCAAGGATGAGGCCCAGCCCTTTCATTACATCACCTTCAGTTTAATTTAAAGACATTACAATTTAATTATTTTTTAATTACTTTTCTTATAAAGATGACAAATATTTATAAAAGATGAATAATTATAACTGATTTTAGAAAAATAAATTATTGCCATTTTTATAAGTTATTTTCTTTAAACAATCTCAACAAAAAGAAAACTCGTTACCTAATTTCATTAACACAGATTTTTTCATTAACAATAGACAATATTATAAACAATGTCATTGTATAAGTATTCTTCATTTATGACCTTCATAAAATTACGAAACAGTTATTATTAATAGGCAAGAATAATTATTTCACTACAGTTAAATTGGTATACAAAACAATAGGAACGTTTGTCTTTAATTTTAATGAATAAGATAAATCTCTGTACTTTCAAAAATGTAATCAGGTAAGTATAATTTGATGTAATCATCTTAATTAATAAAATCTTCATTCAATTCTAAAATCTCCGAGTGTTATTGACCCGGGTTAATTAAACATAAGTTTGATCTATCAAATCTGTGACCGTATTTCTGTGTTTCTGACCTTGCCATTGACATACTATAGAACCCATCTACCTACAGTAGGTCATGTTATATCCTACTGGCTAAACGCATAAATTTGATTTTATATTTTTTCTTCACTTCTATGATAACTGAATATACTCGTATATAAAATTGTTCTAATTATAATCAATACTTTGATCTCTAATTAGATAAAAAAAAAAGTTTATAAATATAGGACTTATACAACAGGATATAATTATAAATGACATATTTATTTAATATGCAGTATTTAAATAAAAATAAATTGGTTTTTTTGTATTAATAGTTTGAATGAAGAATATTTTAGTGCATTTATCTGGAAGAATGGCCTAATTTAATCCATAAAAAAAAAATCTATGAGCTGTATTAAAGTATCAGGAAATTGTAAGATTTTGTATTTACGATTTGGCAGGTTACGCTTTAAATAAGGTAGTAATTAATTTTTGTTCCGAATATCCGGTTAATCTCAACATGAGGTGTGAAAACTTAGTCAACTAGTAATTTATCATTTTGACAGAAGTTGAATTTCCGTCTACCTTTTCAGCTTGATAGATTATCTTATATAATTATAATATAAACAATGAAAGATAAGCAATAATAAAGAACAGTTTCTATTTTCAATATTACAATTGCTCATTAACAAACTGACATCGAAAGCTTTTGAAATTTTTATATTTATAATGAATGCGATTCATTTCTAGCTAATAAAAAAAATATACAAAAATAGAAGGTTAATATAAGAAAGTTATTTTTTAACAGGATATGAGAACACACTACAAAGTAATTAAATTCTAAAAGTTTGAGAAGTTTAGAAAGAGGCGGATTTATATAGCAGCTAAATGACTAAAAACCAGATCTCGATATAGAGGATAGGACCGACAGGTTTTAGGGCCTCAAAATTCAAAGAAAACAATTAAATGTGGTACATTTAGATCGCCTTGTATTATTTTAAATGCTCCTTCAAGAAAAAAATGAAGAATGGTAATTCAAAAAAAAATTGTCATCTAAAGTATTTGTAGTCGGATTTCATCGCAAAATTATAATTATGAATCGCTGTAAAAATATAAAATAAAAATAAAAATATAAATTGTAAATATCTTTACGAATTGTGATCCATTCAATAGACCATGAAGACAATCGCATTTGTAGATATCATTCTTCTTTTCACACCTGCAATGACCCGCGATATGGTTTTGAATCATTTGTTATAGCCTATAACATGGTGTAAAATAATTATAATTTTGTGCCTGATCGAACAAATATAAGGAGCGACACGAATCCGATAAGAAATGTATTGTTTTAAAAGGCGTTTATCCAAAATTAAGTCCTAGAAACCTTTGTAAAAATGTATTGATGATATATAATATTTTAAGTTAACAATAATGAAATTCAAGCCCCAAGCAGACCTTAAAGTAACGCTGACCCTGCGAAACGAGAATAACTTGATGCAGTTCCCCAATTCAACAAGTTACAACCTTCTAAGAACTTCAAAAACTTCAAGTATTTTAAAACTATATAATCATATTAAAAAAAAAACTCATTTTTAAATTTAGTATAATTTATATAAATGGATTCCATTAATTATATTACATTGTTTCAGTCATGCATCAACGAAAAGTTTATACCTTCTTTTAAAATCGTAGATATTTTTTTCTATATAACAAGTTATTAATGTAAGAGTTTGTTAATGGATCCAATTAAATATGCTATACCATTAAATCTATCATTAATGGATCTAAAAAGATATTTACTTACTCATGAGTTGAAGCAATAACATAAATATCACATAATAAATGTGGAAGAGATGTCATAATTTAAGGATAATTGAAGATATTTACTTAGAAAATGTTGTTTTTAAATTCTAATATTTTTATTTTACTAGAAAACTTTTGTCTATTTGAATTAAAAATACTGATAAACTATAAAGCCTCCTGTAAAGAACAAGTGTGTTCAATATAATAAAATACAAATTAATTAATTATTATTAGAAATTAGGCATTATTCTAAAGATTTACGATTATGTTAGAAACATTCTGATTTGACTAGATTTAATTAAAATGCAAAATATAATTAGTTTACGCTTTAGAAAAATTAAAAATTATTTATGAATTTCTGAACTTAGGAGAAATATTTTTTAGTTATGTCAAGGTTGTTTTATGTTTTAGTAGCTTCCTCGGTAAATAAACATAAATTTTACACACTCAAACATTATGCAATACATCCTCAATATTATCTTATGCTATCTAACATATATCAAGTTATGAAATGAATACAGAAAAATTGTTTAATATCTCTTCATTTTGTATTATTTATATTTTCATAAGTCTTATTTTATATTTTAGATATATGAAAGTTATATTAATACAAACTTAATCTTATATTTATAAATCAAGATTTTCAAGCACACCATTCAAATTTTGGATTCCTTCACCATTCAAACTTTCTATAACTCAGAACTTACGAGGAAAAGTTGAAAATATTTAATAATTATAAGGGAAATGCTTAAAAATCGCAATTTTGATCGTATCTTTAGAAATTAGTCACGTTGTGGTACGGACAATCTCTGCAATATTTATTCTAATTGGAAATTTTTCTATATGTATTTCTCAATTTCAGCGATGGCAGCGAACAGAATGAACATTGTTCTTTCAGTAAATGAAATATCCTGCCTGGATGTACAGTAAGACTTTTGTTCTAACAAAATCCATTAAAAGATTTTTGTTAAAGTAAATGGTTTCCAATTAAAATTCCTCGACCTATATAAAACTTAGGCTGAGATTAAATGAATTCTATTTGATGATGATAAAACCTGAATATCCTGTTTATTCTGTTATTATATCGATGATTTCTATTTCAAAATTTAAAATATTTCAAAGGTTATTAATTAAAAAATAATATATGATATTTGCGGAATTTATCTACAATTAAAACATTTAAAACTACTTCCAATGTTTATATTTTAATTCATAAATATAAATGGCGTATTAATAAGAAAATATCATTATATATATAGGTCTATATATGTATATATTCTGTTTTTTAAATATAATGATTTCTTGAATTAATTTAACTGAAATTTATATATTGTAATTTCTATAAAATATATAATTAATTGTATCAATAATTTTGATGTTTTTTAATATAAAGTTACCATCATATAAGGGAATTTTTAAAGATAAGTTTTAACAATATTTAAATCTGATTATTTGCTTAAAAATTAAATAAAATTACGAATATTTTAGTAAAACATAATTGAGTAAGTATCCATGTTCACCAAATTGACCTTGGATGTAGTGTCTGCCTACTTACCTGGACTGAGGTATTCCCCTTGAGGATATCTGTACGAGGAATATAAGCGCGTTTATTCAACACGGATTTAGATTTTCGAGTGTTACAGTAATCTGTCTACATCTTACAAAGTGCAAACAACAAATACATAACTTGCCGGGGCAACTCGAAAACTACCTGTTGAGGTCAAAGACATCGCTCATCTCTGGCTGCGGTTGGATCGTCCACACTAACTCAGAAATGCTATCGAAAAACTGGCGATGTGCATCAGCAATTCGCAGGTGTTAGACTGCCATTTTATTGGTGGTTTGTTATCCAATAACAGGTTTCGTTTTAGTTCAAAATTTAATATATACACGTTGATATTTATCGAAGGAATTCTAGATCATAAAGGGCATTTCAAAAATAAAGCCCTTATTAATTATAAATTGTTATAACCTGTTTGTTTTCCTAACAAATTAATAGGACTTTGTAAGTTCATTTATGTTTACTAAACTTTGATTAGTAGACCGTGAAATACTATGATTAAATCGTTCTCAAAGTCAGGTTAACACCAGTTAATATAATATTAACCTAAAATAGTTAATTCTGTATGTTCATTGATAAGCAACATATCTTGAATCTATAAAAATCTATGTAAACTAGTTCTCTAATATACTGTGATCAATTATAAAAAAATATTTTTAGCATTAAAAATAATTTTCTAATTTATATGAACTCGTTTCTTTAAGTCAAGTGTTCATTGAGCTTTCTCAGTTAGATTTCTGTCTTTTATACTGATTATCACAATCTTCAGAAAAAAATATATAAATAAATAGAATTAGAAAATTTTCGAAGCTAAAAAATAATTATTAATCTAACAGTTATCATGAGAAAAAATTGACATGAAATTTAAAGTTATATAAATTTCGATCATGGATCATAACTTAACTCGATGGTGGATCTCATCTGAAATGTACAGTACGGTACCAATCCATTACTGAATTACATGCATTAAACATGTTCTAATTGAGATGAAATTGTTTTGAAGTAAAAATATTGAAATTTTTTTATTTTATAATTAATCAAAAGTCTGTATTTTGATTTCAAAAAAGAAGAAAAAAGAAAACCAGACTTTATCAGGATGAAAACCTTTCATGAAACGGGAGAAGTTCTCAATTTGGAATACAGAAATATAGTTTTGAAAGTTCTTTCAGAGAAAAATATAAGATTAATATAAAAATATCGTAATATTACTTAGTTTATTAATTAAAACTTTAAAAATAAATAAATAAAAATTAGTAAACTATTTATTTATTCATGACTTAAAAATCGACGAGTTTTATCATTTCTTTCATGCACAAAATTATATTTGTGATAGTAATAATTTTAAAACAATTTCTGCATTCATTTAATTAGAATTTTTCAATATCCAACATATATAATGAATGTTGAAACATTCTAATTAAATGAATATAGAAATTGTTATGTATAAATTTTAAGTATTATGTGAAGATGCAAAAAATAATCAACTATTGAGTTAAAATTAAATTAATAATAATGTTTATTAGTTAATATAAGTTCAGTTCGATACAAAATTGTATAATAATTCTAATTCTAATTAATGCAACAAAACATTTTAGTAAAAATAACGAAAAATTTCAAATGTACTCTCACTGTATAGACTAGAGACAAATCAGGACTATCCAAATAAATGCATAAATAATTCTGATAATTCTTTTTATATATTCAAAATCTCTAATTTGAAATATTGATTCGTTTCCAATAATTTTTATAATAATTATTTCATGTAATTTTACACAACTTTTACATTTTAGATAAAATGTTCTACTAACACAAGGATCTTTTGATATTAATATCAAAAGATCCTTGTGTTAGTAGAAAATGAGAATCCTTGATTCAATTAATTCACAAAATACAACGAATTTTATCTACTAACACAAGGATTTTCTATCAAGGATTCTCATGTTCTACTAACACAAGGATCTTTTGATATTAATATCAAAAGATCCTTGTGTTAGTAGAAAATGAGAATCCTTGATAGAAAATCCTTGTGTTAGTAGATAAAATTCGTTGTATTTTGTGAATTAATTGAATAATTCATTCGATTGAGCATTCGAAAAGGACCAACTGATCAAATCTAAAGAGCATCAATCAGTATATCAATGAGATTAAAAATTCGCTCTTAATTTTTTTTGAATCAAAATTTATTCTACTATTTTTCTTTCAACAGATGGCGCCATCATCTTAATATCTTTGTCGAATGCCGATGCATATTTGACTAAATATATTGTAGATAGAGACATTCTTTTATTTCCTTACATAATACTTCGCCTTTCTTACACTAAATTTGGAATTTCGTACATTTTCAAATAAAAAAAGATCAGCCATCGTATGGTGGCGATTTTTGCTAGTTTTGACTATTTTGATTCACTGCAGATGTACCGTGGCTGTTGGGTCACGTGATCTACAAATGATAAAATGTAATCTAAAGCATCGATGAACGTATAGATACTGTTTTCACAATTATCTTTAGAAAATAATCAATAATTAAATGTTTCGAAAACTTAATAATAAACTTTAAAAGTATCAAATTTTATTTATTTCGTAAGCTTAAAAATAAATTTTTATAAACAACGTTTACTTAATAATATAACTAGAGTTACAATCCAACGGCATTGGGCCGACTTGACCGGCAATTTTAAATCAAGACCGGAGGTCGGCAAAACAGTTTAAAATATAAATAAAATTATATTCTAATTGAAAAAGTATTATATAAAATTATTTTTAATATTCGATAAATCTTCTTATAATAATAAAATGACATTTTCATTATAATTATGAAAGTTTTTGTTGTAGTAGGCTACGTTAAGTTTTCAAACGCGATTCTAAGTAGTTATTCACGCTAAGTTGACTGCCGTTTTGAGCTTTAAAAAGTGAATTTTTAAGATGAGCCAGTCTATACATTTGTCTGATTTTTCTTCGCTTCGAAAAAAAACACGTTCACGCAATTGTACATTTAAGAGAACATAAATGAATGATTTAAAAAAATTGGTTAACTCGTAATGATATTTGTTCAACTCGTTGCACTATTTTCCGAACACCATAAAGAAAACCAATTGCTGAAAAGCGGTCAATATTTTTCTATAAAGTAAATACTACAATTTTTAAAAATTCATTCAAAAAGTTTTCTCTATTCCGTGCAGCGATGCATTTGCCGAACGCATCTTTAGTATGATGAACGAAACCGTTTATCATGTGAAATGATCAAAGCGGAATTATGCACAATAATTACTTTGAACTTTAAATGCAGTATGCTTTATGAAATCGTAGATACGAGTAATAAAATATTGAGTGCTAATAAATCGATTACTAAATACGATTTTTAAAGTCGCTCGAAAAAATCTTCAAAATGCCAAATTAAATGCGATTTTATTGTTTGTTCATTTTAAATTACTAATTAAAATTCGCGAAAATGTTTAATTTAAATACCAGATTAAAAGTGATTAGTTGTTCGTTAAGTTATTGATGAAAATTTAAATTTAAATTTACCTTTCCCCGTCATCATATCGCCCAGCGAAGCCAGTTTCCAAAGGTGCCAACCCTGAATAACCGAATTATTCTTTTGAACTTAAATACTTTAATCATCAGAAAATTAATTTTTTAACTTTTATATACAATAATGTTAAAATAACGAATCACTTTAATAAAAATATGGAAATTCTTTATGGATATCAAATTATACATATTTGATACAAAATAAAAAAATATCAATTAACATCATTTGACACATTCAAATGATGCAAATTGCTAGGAATAGATACGAAATTTGATACTAGCGGATTTGTCAATAGAATACTGTATTTCACTTATAAATTCATTCAAATAATTTAATTTTAAATACAGTTTCGATTCATTTTTTGTGAAAATGGTAACAAAATCATTTGTTTGCAGGTTGTATGAGATATGATAGATCCAAGAAGAGGAATCACTGTAGTTTGTGCGTGTTTCAGTGGATTAATGTATTCAAAAGAAAAATTTGCTGGATACTGTCAAAAATGAGCGGGAGAATGCACGAGGCTTCAATTGTTGAGTAATATAGTAGTCAATCGAATAATGAGGTCTTAGGTCAGTTTGCATTCGAGTTTGGAAATCACATGCCTTGATAAGTTGTTTCAAACAAAATCGTACGTGTGGGTTCCCAGACGAGGTTCGAACTCGAGTAAACCGTGAAATTCTTGCGTGACACAAGATGTAAACAGCGAGACTCGGAACGGTTCGAGTATGTGTCAAACTATCTGTCAAGGTCTTAGTGGAAGACATACTCTAGTACGAGCGCTCATAAACAGGTAGATCTTTGACACGCGTGTCTATAAAATGTTGGCCGAGATAAACCGTTTCGAACAAAAAAATAGGGGAATTTTTGATAGATGAAAGGTGAAAATGATCGTTAAATTCTTAGACGTCAAGAAATGGTAAACAACGGCCTGAGTTATGAGTGCAGGTGTTATTGTTTTATAAACAGTCACCGAGCAGAGTCGACAAAGAGATATCAGATGGACACCTCGAATCGGACCTTTCCCGCGACCCGAAAAGGTTTCGTATTGCACCTGGAGACAAAGGAGAGACCAATCGGGAAGCGAGGAATGGGACGAGGGACCAATCCGAAATGCGAACAGTGGGGGAAAAACTATAAAAATCGGAACTTCAAGGTCGAAAAAAAGTCTCCTCCGGATTAAGCCTACAGTAGTGATTTAGATTGTGTTGTGAAACCGCCGATCACCGAGGACGTCGCAACGTAACAACGAACTTTTGCTTCGTCCAGGTATCCTTCTCGTCCGCCCGAACTGCGACCGATCATACGAACTTTCGCGGTTCTCAGGAGCACCGAGATTTTGGAATTGTCCATTATCGATGTAAGCATGAATTCGAACAAATAAACGGGTTTTCTTTTGTAAAACACTTGTTCTTCATTTGCCTCCTTCGCCACCGCCCACATACGCGGTTTTCCTTAGGCTCATTCTGACTCGAGATAGACTTTATTCCCCCTTAACGTCGGCACCCTTACATACGTTTATGAATTCACAAATAATGAAGGGTTCTGTAATTACTATTTAATATTTATGGAAAAGATCTGTTCACATGTATTGATTGAGCTTTACAAGGATAACGCTATTTAGAGTGCTATATCGAGGTTTGGCTGCATTTTATACAACGTATAGAGAAAGGCTTTCACGGAAAA